CCATCATAAAATATAATAAACAATAACAGAACTTCACGGAGGACCAGACATATAAAAACTTAATACAGAAAATATGGAACTAACTTGTTTACATACATCTATACTAATATTACAATAGAAGATAGATTTGTATTTCTTATATGTGTCGGAATAACTCAAAAACTCCTGGACCCTTTTCAAAAATTCTTTTAGCATTAGAAAGCTACGTTATTGTCGAGTAACAAAGGCTTTATTTTTAAATCTCACGTGGACGAAGTCGCGAGCAACATCAAGTTAGAAATATATGTAAAAGAGAAACCAATGTAAGCTCTCGGATATGGAATTTCTATATTGTTAGTTCTTAGTTAGATTACAAAATTAGTATGCACACTCATACTTTAATCTCTAATAAAATTTTCACATTGAAAAGGATATTATTTCCTTCAGGTGGGAAGTATATAGCATTCCAAGCGCCGGTGCCGAACTCAAAGAGCGCTTCGCAGTTTGCGTTGAATAGCGTGGCCTTGGCCGGCGCGTGCCCGTACACACACACCCACTCATTCCAATTGCCGGGGTTCCATGATAACGCGTGGATTGGACCTTCCTTACCTATACACAAGTTATACATTAAAAAAATGCAACAATATAAATGACGCTATAGAAGACTATGAATAAAGCATCAAATATTATAGAGCTTTTAAATAAAACACTTACTGAAAGCGACATTCCCAGCTTTTCCTTTCACATCACCATAGGAAAGTGTTTGCCTTCCGTAATATGAGCCACCGGTTTTGTCCACCTGGTATAATAAAATAGTTTCTTTTTATAAGTCAGAAGAAAAAATCATTATTAATATTAATAATATAAAAGTTATCATACATCAGTCTGTGTCATAGTGAACACATTAGTGCCTCGTCTGTTCCAGTAGAAGGTGGCCTTGTCAGCCTGGAATGAGGACCGACTCAATATGGGCTCCTGTGATCCTGACTGAGGGTATTTATATACCCTCCATAATGATGGTTGACCTGATTTGCCTGAAAATTCACAAATATATCTTACTAGTTGACATCTGAAAACTTAATTAGTAACCTATATATTCTTCCTATGTTCTAAATCTATACCAAAGTTAAGTGAGATTTAAGCCCTTCTAAAGATACATAACAATAAACATCCATCCATACATTTATCCATCAAGTTTTTGCATTTATAACTTTAGTAACATAATAAAAGCAAGAAGAAAATAAATTTTAGTAGTTTATTATATTTCTTTTCATAAATATCTGTTTCAATCGAATTTTGATACTAACCCAATGTAAAAACAGAGAAGTAGTAGTTTGGTGCGGGACTGGGAGACAAGCTAAAACATTTTAGTTTTTCTGCTTGATGCTGGTATTGATATCTTGTAAAATCTCCATCATGATATATCAATATTTTGCCACCAAATTGTATGGCAAATAATTTTTCATCAGATGACCATTGTGGTTCCCTGTAGTATGTAGTTTTATAGGTGTTATTAATTATGGCTTTTTTTTACAAATATATGTTTTCATAAAACTGTTTTTTACTAACCAGCCAGCTTGATGCTTTTGTACAAAACTTGCAAGTTTCTCCCCATTATTTGATTTGTAAATATGCATATTTGGTTTGCCCTGGAATTACAACATAAAAGGGTTTACTCTCCAACCAACTTTTAATGTAAATATTTTTTTTACATTATAGACATACCTGTGGATCATCTTTTGTTATTAAAAACATCTCCCAAACTGCAAAATAATTATCCAAAGGAGAGAAAAACATATCCTTGACATTTCCATTGATTTTTGCTGCAACCGACCAGTCAGCACATTTAATAATCTCAGCCCTGAAATACACCATTTTGTTAACAACCTACAGGTATAAATACCAATAAAAATTATTCAATTCTTAGAACAATAACCATTTAATGTTTGATAAAATGAAATAATTATTTCATGTACTTAATGAATAATAAATAAATAAATGAATAAATGAATTAAATTAATTCATAATAGTATTGTCAACTTATCTATAGTTATACTTACTTTTTATCAGTTCTATAAGCAAGGTATGTTCCTTTGGGACTGTAAATTAAACTACGAATGTTCGGTGTACTTTCATCTCTTAAAACTTTCTCTGTATACGGTTCTTGGAATTCCACTAAGAATAGATTTTTGTTCGTCAAGCCTGAAATCAAACATAAATGGTAATCTTTCAGCCGTTCAATCACAATATGGTAATAATATGATATTCCGAGAACATACCGGTAATATACGGAGCCACACTCATTTTGAAAGTTCAAGTAAATCTATTTAACAAAATATAATTACACTCAGCAAACACGTCTTACATAACAGTTTATCGCATGTTTATTAACATTTTATAAGTATCAATATCGAGATTAATACATGTGTTTTAGTTTTATAACCCAAAGATGCCCAAAGTTAAAATAACCATACGTCTTCACTTTGACGTTTGTCAAAAATGTCAAATTGACATGAACCAATGACGTGTAGCCACTGGCCGAATCCCAAAAAATAATTTCATTATTAATCCATACGTCTTTTATACTTCTTTAGTTATTTTAATTCATATCACATGAGTTTAAAATAACTTAATAATTTAACAACTATTTTTCGTCAATGTTTTCTTGTTATTTCACAAATTATTTTCTGTGGTCACAATGTTTATCTGTTGATAGTTAATAGTGAAAAAATAAAAATAACAAAATGGCGTAATGGTACTTGTTTTATTTTTGTTGCAATAATATGCATTCGCAGATGAAATAATGAAAATTTAACACAAATACATTGTAATTTATTTAGAGAAATTACTTGGTTGATTCTAAACTCTACGTTTTAAAAAAATAAATGTTCAGTACAAAATCTCAGCTTCGTAAGCGTACTCCAGAGAATGGTACAGATCGAGAAAATTATTTATCACTTTTGGTAGATGAATACTTAAATTCAAGTTCTCTTGGTAAGTTATATATTAAGTATAAAATGTTATATTTCTTTGTATATTTGATTAATAATAAAAGAAGTTGTACTTTTTATTTACTAAAATAAAGGCGATACTTTTACTTGCAGATGCGAAATGTCAAGTGCTGGCCAATTTAGCGAATTTTGCGTATGATCCTATAAACTATAGCTTCATACGTGATGTAGGCGCACTGGATATTTTTCTCTATGTTTTGAAGAATGAATCCAACTATAAACTGGTTAATTTCGCTTGTGGCGGTATCAGTAATCTATGTCTAGGTAAGCATTCATTAAAACAACTTGCAAACTTACTAGCCATTTTTATGCTTATATCTAATGGTGTATCATTCTCCATTTCAGATCCTTTGAACACCACATATATCTTAGACTATGGGATATTGAACCTTGTGCCTCGTCTTTTAAAGTGGGATAACACTGACATAGTGGCATCTACTTTATCTATTCTCATTCAAATACACAATTCCTTGCGAAAACCAGAGTTGTTTAATACTGAGATAATCCAAGATGCAGAAAAATTGAAATCAAGTAAAGATAAAGTTGTCGCAAATTTAGCAACAATATTTCATCAAGATGTATGCAAAACACCATAAATATATAAATAATATACATATTTGAAGATATTTATTGGAACATAGAAATAGAAAGCAAGATGTTATCAAACAGATTTCCGTACATAGCAATGAACAATAAAAATTATCAAAAGATATGTAAATTGCATACATCAACATTTAATAGAGTATCATTTAAAGCTGGTGATAAAATTCGCATACAGAAAACACTTACACAAAAAGACTTGGACACTTTTTCAAACCTCACAAGTGATCATAATCATTTACACAAAAATAATGGCAACAAAAGGCCTATTGTACATGGGGCATTATTGAATGGTCTTGTTGCCGGTCTAATTGGTACTCATTTACCAGGCCCAGGAACAATTTTAGTATCCCAAACAATGAAGTTTCCCAATAAATGTTTTGTTGGTGAAAAATTAACTATAAGCGTTGAGTTAGTTGATGTGAGGAAAATTTTAAAAGTGAAATTTTTCTGTGTTGTCGAAGAGGAAAAGAAGGTTGTGTTTGAAGGTGAGGCTAAGCTTATATTAGCCAAAGACTGTTGAGGTAGCTGTAAGAGTTGTTTAATAATTTATTACAAAATTTAGCTTTTTAACTATCTAGTGATTGTTACCTTTAAGATTGATTTGTGATTGGGTTTCCATTGCTGAAATACATGCACAAGAATATGTCTTCAATGAAAAAGGTACAGCTTACCCACACATACTTGATGACCTGCAGATCAGCTCACAGTTCACATTTACAGATCAGTAAAACAGGTCTCTAATATGTTCATTTGTAACTGTATAGCTGTAAGTCACATGTGAGTGAGAGTGTGAGTTTTTATCTGATTTACACATGCTGAGAACTGCAGCTGCAGATCAGCTCATGGTACATACATGTGTTGCAGATCAGTCAGAATTTAGATGTGAAACATATGTCTAGTGCAGGTATTTCCGCTTTGGTAATGTAAGGATACAATTATATTAAGACACCCATACTTTTATGAATAAATTTCTTTCAATGTTGATATTTCTATAAATGATAAATGAGATATGGCAATGAAGTGCCAAGTGCCAATGAAGTAAGGCAGTTTTATTGAATTTTTTATTCCTGAATGCAATAGAAATTTGTCCACTCTACAAACTTTAACTCAATAAATTAAGACTGATCTTGCTTGCAATATATAAATTACTCAAAACAAACAGATGTGATAATTTCCATATTTTCTTGCCTCGAGATTGAAAATTGTGAAAGAGTTTTTTTATGTAATCTTGCAACAGAATTATGTAATAAAGTACAATTAAATAATAATTAGATTTTAATAATGTGAGTTATTTATAACAGATTCCAGTGTACAAAAATATTCAACAACCAACATTTATTAGATTTTGTAATTTAGTTTTAATGATGGTTTAAGAGTACAACTCATAACCTACGATAGTTCTAAGATAATCATAATAATTGTAACATTTTTGTTATTTTTTTTTACATACAGTATTAATGATATGTTAGTAATTGTGTTATTCTGTTTGTTAATATTGTTTTACTGTATCCCTGATTTGTTTATTGTAAATAGTAGTGTAATAACTCATTTTTGTAATGTGCATTGAATAGGTTACAATCTCCATAAGCAATAATTAATAATCTGATATAGACAGACCAGGTTATTTGACCCTGTAAGAAAAACTGAATAATGATACCATATTAGCCCTTTTATCAACGGCGGAGTCATGTGCCCCTGAGCTGGCTAGTCAATAGCTTGATAAAACATATATATATATTTTGTCGAGCTCTTGACTTGACCATAACTATGTGACCCCCATCTGGCGCCAAAGCTGGATCCGCCCTTGCGTTTTGTGCTATTTTCTATGTCCATGTAGGTTCTTAATATTTTCTGAAAGAACAAATCGATAGAAGGACTTCTTACCGTACTAGGCATCCTTGTTTGACTGTCTTATCTGTTGAAAATTAGAATGTACAATTCTTTGTGTCAAAATTTTCTATAAAGTTATTGCTTTAGTGGAGGTTTTCATTTCATTTTGAGATCTATTATTTTGTTGTAATGTGCAATGGCATGATTAATTAAAAAGATCATTTCTGTCCTTTATTTTGTCTATTTTAATGAACCAATTCCCTTACATTATTTTCATAAAAAAACTAAGGAAATTCCGTCATCTGAGTTTCTTAGTCAAGTTGACAGTTACCTCTAAATGCAGTTATTCAAATATTTTATCTTTCATGGACTAATTTCCCTAATAACAATAGAAATAAAGTAAATGCAGAGTAAGTAATTCATATATTACCTGCTGTTATTGTTTTCGATGACAATTTAATTTAGACTTTATGTAGCAGGTAATCTTAAAATTAAAAAAAATGTAATAGGCAGTGTCGATTTTGTTAGGTTGCAAATTCACTCCCTTTCGTAACGATTACTGCAAAATCCAGTGACCCAGATTTCATGACATGATTGTCCTCATTTTCATTTTTATATCAGTGACCCATAAACCTATATAAAAATAGTGTAGACCTCTTTCACTCGTGGTACTTCCAATGTGGCACTGGGTTAAGAGCTCGGTTGTCAATTAAGGCAATCGAATAATCACGATTTGTATCTTCCCTTAGGTAGATATTACTGCTGGGGAATAAAGAGAACTTCATCTTTTTATGAAGTACATTTGCAGGATTCACAGGAAATTTATACATATAAAAGTCAATAAAATAAGTGTGTATTTTTCCTCAATTTCAAGATAATACGATAAAAATTAGAAACACCCTATTTATATCCTCTAAAGAGCGTTCGAAATGATTCCCGATACTGCAATGCAGGTGTTTTAGTTGCGGAGTGGCGGGATTTATATAGCCTGGGGGAAAATTTCGAAACTATGCCCATTAGACCACTAAAACTAATTTAACAATTATAGTTTATTTTGAGTGGTCAAAAAAATGTTCAGTGTTAATTCAAATATAATTCAAAGGAAGAGAATAGTGGTTTTCAGTATTTTTCTTTCTAGATCAGAAGAATAGATATCTCGAGGACTCTAATTTCCTAAGTATAAGTTTTCTACTAACCTTGAGAAATAGGTATTACAAGAATGTACTTGGGGCAACTGAGTGCTAAAGAAACATCAACACGAACGCGAGGTCCGTTTAGATAAATTGAGGATAAGGGGTGACCAAGGCTAGAGAAGCTTGATTGAATCAATCGAGTTAGTAGCGTCTTCGTAAATGGGCACGCATTTGTCTAGAACGTATTTAGGTTTTGTACCCATCAAATAATCTGCAAATAGGTAATGAACTTGTATTCACAGAGTATAATAAATATATTTTAAAAGTAACTAACTGCAGAACAGGATTTACTATGTTCTAGGTTAGTTTTTGTGCCGATTAAAAAATACTGACTGCAGAGTTGAATTCCTTTTCTCAGTTCCGGTTCTTTACCTTGGAAAAAAGCTGAAAAATCTGGCTTTTAGCATAGGTTTTATTTAGGCTCGACGCCAAGTTTGAACGTTTATAATAGAGTAACGTGACTTGGCAACATTCTACAGGAATCTGCTTTTATGCTACACTGATTTTGAAGAGCCCACCTAGCGAGGTATTAAATGAAACATAATTTCAATATGCTTTTATGCCCTCGTGTAGATTACCCCTTAATTAAGAGTAAAATCAAGGCTCAAAACAATTGCATACGATTTTTGAAAATAATTATAACTAAATAGAAATTTAAAAACATCGATGTTTGGGTATAGTCTTTGTAGTTTTTGTATTTCATCGTAAAACAAGGAATAAAGAGGCACTTTGATTACTAAGCCAATAGCAAAACGTTTTATAACCGAGATAATTTAAATAAAAAATCTCAGAAGAAGCTACATTATTAATCACGTCAAGTTTCAACTAAGTTAATCGAAAAGATCACGATTTAAAGATAAGATAACAAACGACAATGTTAAATATTCGCCTGCTTTTGTTAATTCGATCTCTTATCTAATAACTTTCTCGATAATGACTCGCGATCACGTACGAAACTTTTCACCTCAGTTGCACAAACTCACGTCCATTTATCTGAATCTGCATTTTTACGTCTAAGATCAACAAACGCCTGTTCATTATATATTGTTACTTGAAGACGCTAAAATCATTAAATGTTGATAAGTCATACAGGTGATATCTAACTGAAAAATATAATAGCTTTAAGCTAGCTTGGATTATACCTACCGTAAGTTATTGATGTTTTAATTAGAAAAATCTATTAAAAGTCTATTTAGTACTTCTTTTAATACTGTTTATGTTTCAGGTTACATTTTCATAAGATGGGTAACCTTAGTAAATGGGTGATAATATTTGTAAGCATCAGCTTAGCTGTGTCAACCGAGGGCTGGAGGAAACTGAAGCGAAGCCAGGACCAGAGCGTTAGAGCAACTGAAGAACAATATGACGAGGATCCAGGCGAAGTAAGTACAAAGTTTTCAATTCAAGAATATTCGATTTTGAACAATTTTGCCTTTCTCACGGTATTTTATATTGACATTTTTAGCCATTTTAATTGATTGAACTAATTTTTAGATCCTTCTTAAGAAAAAATATTGATTTTGTACAAAAAAGATTTAGGGCCTAAGCCTAACCCAAGTATTATTCTCGCCTTTTGTGATATCATAAAAGAAAATACTGTCTTCTGTTTCCTATAAATAGTATTTGTTTTCCAGCTGGAGCCGTGTCAGTGCGGCGTGTTCATGTCCCTCCAGGTGGGGGTGCGGGAGGGGCGGCGGGGGCGACCGCGGGGTCCGCCGACCGGGGAGCCGGTGGTAACGTACGACACGGACGAGCCGAGCCTGCCCTGCAGCAGTGGACACAAGCATTGCATCAGCAAATGTCTTGATGTGGTAAGTATCAAAGATGGTATATGATTGTCTGAAACTGAGAGACGAGCGAATGAGAGAGAGAGAGACGAATGCAGAATAAGTGATAATTGAGGTAGTTAAAGAAGACTCCTAACTTTTGAAATCCAAATTGGATTCTCAATTCTAATGATATACATTTCTTTCAGATATTAAAATACTTACCGAAAGCCGGTCCTGTGATATGCGGTGCCGTAGAGAGAGATGTTCACAGAGAGAAGGCTTTTCTTTTCATCAAGAATTGCGGCGACGAATGGATACCGACCCATTTCTCCGCTGGGAAGGAGTTCTGCTGCAAAGATGGACAGCATATGAAATGCTAGAAGATTCTACTGTTGATTAAGTGGGATAGAAAAATGAATTATAAGTTTGTGAACAGAGTGAAACGTTAGTGAACATAGTAAAGACTGTATTGAAAAGGAGATATAAATAATTAGTTTACTTGTGAGATAAGTATAGATTTATGTACTAAGTGAAGTATAATGTAATGTAACAACTAGATGTTGTGTTTTGTGTAATGACTTCTGTAGTTTGTTACCGATCTAGTCTGTAGTAGCAAATAAATAAAAGGTTATAATATATTTTTTGTATTGATCCATTCCACATTGAATGAATATACTTAATTAGTACACATAGCCCTAAATGCAGGATGCAGAGAACTTTTTCGTGTATTTAAAAATAATTGTTTGAAAAAAGGGCTATTTAAGCACCTTTACTACAGTTATCTTTCACAAGAAGTAATATAGGTGGGAATTATTCAAAGCAATGATTAACATAATGGCAAAGTTAACGGCATTGTAAAAATATTGTGTTTGTATTTTTAATTAACAGATGGCGTTGTTTAATCAACATGCTACATTAGTAGATTTGTATATTTTTGACCGACTTCTCAAAAGAAGGAGGTACTCAATTCGTCTTTATGATTTTTATTTTTATTTTTTATTAAAAAACGCTGCTTAAAATACGTAACTAAATTGAAATTGAAATTGAAATTTTTTGAAAAACAGATTAATAGAATAATTAGTTTTTAACTTCCATTTTTTCAATAAAATTATGCAGACTACAAGAGTACAAGGAATTTTTATTTGTAAATTCGTTTTCTACATGGACATGGCCTAGTTAAGAATTTATATAGACCAAATTGATAAGATAGGACTATGGCATCTCTTACGACAGACGTGCTAGCAAGTTTTTAACAAATCTAATAAGTATTTTTACATTTGTTTTTGCTTTGTTGATGCTTATAATTTTGAACTACTCACTTAAAGTATAAGCTTTTGTTGAAATAAACTAATTTACCAGAATAAAATAAACAGTTCGTAGATGAAGACGCGCGCGACACAAAGTTTATTTTATAAATATCGCTTCAATGTGGTGAAAACTGTTATCAATTGTGAATAGACTTATTCTTCACATTTTATTATACTTTTATGACTTTCTATTATTTTAATATTATGATAATAATGTACACTAGATTATGTGAAGTGTAACAATAAAATTCTTGTTCTGTATCTACATATGACACCCGCACAAATTAAAAACAATGTGACATGCCTTGAAGGATTATATGCGGGATACTTGAGTGCACAAAACAACATAACAAATAACACTGTCATATTTTTATACATCGAGAGAGCAAACCGGTAAGATATTAAAAATATCAATCTATCACTAATGCCCTAAACAACCAGTACGAATTCATATGAAGTTAGTAAGAATACATACCAAAAAACATAATCTAAACAAACTAACAACGCTACTGGGCACCAGATGGCGTGGCTACTTTTGCTTGCTTGAATTAAAACAAAACAAATATATTGATATGGTAGAGTTCATTTAAAAAGGTTCTAAAGACTTCATAATTTTCATGAAAATCAAGCGTTTTTTTTACTAATCATTGTTTATTAGAACTCGGCTGACTCTGTCCCAAGTTATCAAAAAGAATAAGCCCGCTTAACAAATAAATATGGACAAGTTAGGTGGCTTGGGATTTTGTTTCTCTTAATAAAATGTTTATTTGCTGCCGCTTCCAGCAATAATTACTCGCTCTAGTATCACTTACGAGTACATCGTATTTTTAGGGTTGAGTGAAAATAATAACACCATTGAGATAAATTAAAATGTCAACTTTATGATAACCAATAGTGTACTTATGCAAAGAGTTAATAATCAGTGTATAAAATGTGCAATTTTATCGACTACGCGTAAAGTCAACATGTATCCTTACGAAAATACATTGCAGGGAGAGAACAGAGATATTCTTAGAGCGCTCAGTAACTTGTCCTATATATCGAGGTGACGCGACAAGGAGTGCCTTATCCGTCGACCCGGTTCCACTCGATTATGGTGTCAATAGAGTTTCCTTATCAAGGACTAGTGTTATACGCGCAGTACCTAGCG